GCCATGGCTGGGGGACACACATGGCACACACGTGTCACACACGTGTCACACACGTGTCATCACTGTCACACCAGCTCCTCCAGCAGGACGCGGTACTCAGCTATGGTTGGGACAGACAGGGACACACACGTGTCACACACGTGTCATCAGTGTCACACCATGGCTGGGGACACACATGGCACACACGTGTCACACACATGTCATGGGTGTCACACCAGCTCCTCCAGCAGGACACGGTACTCGGCCATGGCTGGGGACACACATGGCACACACGTGTCACACACGTGTCATCAGTGTCACACACGTGTCAGGAGTGTCACACCAGCTCCTCCAACAGGACGCGGTACTCGGCCATGGCTGGGGGAGACAGACAGGGGGACGCGGGGGTCACACATGTCATGAGTGGGGTCACACACGTGTCATGAGTGGGGCCAGGCTCAGCCACACAGGGCACGGGCAGGGTCAGCCACACATGTCATGAGTGGGGCTGGGCTGAGCCGTGCATGTCACAAGTGGGGTCGGGCTCAGCCACGTGTGTCATGAGCAGGACCGGGCTCAGCCCTGTGGGGCAGGAGTGGGCTCAGCCACACATGTCATGAGCTGGGCTGGGCTCAGCCACACGGGGCACAGCATGGTCACACACAGGGCATGAGTTGGGTCAGACACACGTGAGTGGGGCCGGGCCCAGCCACATGGGGCTTGGTTGGGGTCAGCCACACATGTCATGAGTGGGGCCGGGCTCAGCCACACAGGGCACGAGGGGGGCTGGGCCCAGCCACGCGTGTCATGAGCGTCACGGGACTCAGCCACGCTGGGCACGAGAGGCACAGGGTTCAACCACACGTGTCATGAGCAGGACCAGACTCAGCCATGTGGGGCACGAGTGGGGCCGGGCTCAGCCACACGTGTCATGAGTGGGGCCGGGCTCAGCCATGTGGGGCACGAGTGGGGCCGGGCTCAGCCACACGTGTCATGAGTGGGGCCGGGCTCAGCCACACACGTCACGAGCGGGGCCGGGCTCAGCCATGCATGTCATGAGTGTCATGGGACTCAGCCCCTCAGGGTATGAGAGGCACAGGATTCAACCACACAAGTCATGAGCGGGGCCGGGCTCAGCCATGTGGGGCACGAACAGCCCCGGGCTCAGCCACACGTGGTGTGAGCAGCCCCGGTCTCAGCCGCGTGTGGCACGAGTGGCTCGGGACTCAGCCCTGCATGTCACGAGCAGCCCCGGGCTCAGCCACAGGTGGTGTGAGCAGTCCCAGTCTCACGAGCAGCTCGGGACTCAGCCATGGGTGTTATGAGCGGTGCCGGTCTCAGCCGTGCGTGTCACGAGAGGCTCCAGACTCAGCCATAGGTGTCACGAGTGGCTCCGGACTCAGCTCCCCTGGACAGGAGCACCCCAAGCTCGGCCCCTCGAGGCAGGAGCTACCCCAGCCTCAGCCACCCCTGTCACGAGTGGCACAGCCCTCAGCCATCCATGTCACGAGTG